GATCAGCCAGAACCCTGTTACCATGGTTCCGAATAGGTAGATATCTTCAGCACTCAGGCTCACCCGAGCCCAAACTTCTCGTTGAGAAAGGGGTGTCAATTGCATTTAGGGACCAGTTGATCCAATCCATAATTCCTCTTTTAGGTTTTAGAGAACAGACTGTGAGAGAGTGTTCCAGGGAAAATACACAAAAAAAAACACGAGACTAGACAAGAACATAAGCAGGGAAGATAAGGGAGAGGAGAAAAAGTGCGTCCGCCTCCTCCGAGAGCCAAAGAACATTTGAAATTGTTCAAATGTTTTAAGTTGTGAGTGAACAAGGTAAAACAAATTGGCCTAATTCCCTCGTTCAGCTATTTTTTGTGACTTGAATGTCTCAAAAGAAGCCAAAGAAGTTGTGTTGCTCTTGTTTTGGCAGACAGACGACTTGTAGCTTGACTGTTGTTCTTTGGAGAACGCTGTTCAGACAGAAACTGTTACCTTTCATAAAAATCGTTCCTTCAAGTGGTGGCTAGCACTCCCGTTCACACAAAATGACCTTCAGTGCAATCAAAACCCTTCAATGCCTCCTTTTATCCCTTCAGCCTCCAGTCTGATTTGGACAATGGCCACGGTGGATTCATTCAATAGCCGCTGAACCATCTCTCTGATTATGTGTAGTGTTTTGTGTGAATGTCAGTGATATAAATTCCTCAGTCTCACCAACCTTTGTGTTCTTGAATAAACCTGCAGATACATTTGCAGCTCTTTAATTGGAGAAAACGTCTAATTCAGCTCAATAAAACAAATAAAACAATATCACAGCATTCATTGGAATAAACTGGAATACTTTATCATTTCCGGGAAAAGCTTCAGCCCATCCATTATCTCCAGTATCTGACACACCCCATGAATTGAAAGGTTCTTTTTTTATGGCCTGGAGTGAATTCATAATGTAATCTAGACAGGATTTGAATTAGATTTTCCTATTAGCCATTCCCTGACTGAACCAAGACATCTGCTTTGAATCTGACCTAATACAATAGAATTATCTCTGACTCTTCACTTGATGTCTTACCGTCCCGTATTTCCTTCAAGCACAGCTCTCCTTTGTGATATTCTTTTCCTCCCTTTGAATGCACTACTGTTAATGCTGTACTCATTTTAACATCCACTTGTTTTGGATAATGAGCAGGTAAAAGTAACAGATTTTACTTCACTCGTGTCCTGATAAAATTATGGATTGTCTAAAACTTTCGTCTGTGAATATATCCTGTTAATGCTCTACATGAAAGGTGTTTGTTCTTTGCCCGTCTCTTTCTCTCATTCTGAAGAAATGCAGCATTTGCTTCATGAATACATCGGTCTCTAAATTATCCAAGACTGTTTATTCTTTTCCTTGGCATGTATATAAATAAGATTAAGGATTCTCCATATTTCATACCACTAATGATGCCTCTCTCATGCAAACGTGAGACCTAAAGTTAGCAGCTTTTAAACTACTTAAATGTTTAAACATCCTACAGAGACAACATGTACACAAGGGTTTTTAAAGCAGCGGTTAGTAATGACTTTCTGAATTGAAAAAGCATTAATAATTCAGCAGTACGCTGTATTCAGGGATTTTGGAAACATATGCTTTCTGTAACACAGCCATTAATAATTATCATTTTGAATTCATACTATATAATATGATGCACTATATAAATAAATTAGTTGAATTGCAGCTTCAACATTGCCAAACTGCACCTCGATGAAGAATAAATCAGCATATTCTGCAGATTCACCTGTTAACGCTTAACCAGGGAGCATTGTGCCAACTTATGGAGCATTTATGCATTTCACCAAGAACACAGTGTCTACTCTGAGCAACGACTTCCATGATTAAAATATTTTTATGCTAATAGCATTTTTGCATTAAATAGTGCATTAAAAAGACTTTGGCTTTCTGCCTCATTAAAAGCAAATGTGGCTGCTCAGGCAGGTGCAGGAGTGTGCGTAATGTTATGTTTGTAGTAGACAGATATCCTAAAGTTCGGCGTGAAACACAATTTTAAGTTCACCTAAATAATTTAACCTTACATTGTGTTGATACTGTAAACAACAAAAAACTAAAAACTGCATCCTTCTAGTGGCTCCAAGGATAAGGTTGTACATTCCCCATTGTACACTTCAAATGTAATGGGCATTGAGGTCATGGCGGAAGAAAGCAGGAAGTCTTTTTTATATATATATATAAAAAAAAAACCACTCACACACACCCCAACAACTTCTCCATTGCTTTCACTTTTCAACCTGTGTATTTCTGTGATATACACAGACAGAAACCCATTAATTTGAGCTTTTCACTTTGAGAATAAGGCTGGCATTCAGTTGCAAAAGAGCTATAGATATAGCCGTTACTGAAGACCAACTGAGAGCTTTTAAAAGAGGCACATCTTTTGAACTCAATGCTAGACGTGCTCATCACGAGTACATCTAGCATACTTTTATTCCTCTCTGCTTCTTCGGCCAGACGCACAGGACTCTGCAGAAATAATGCTGCTTTAGAGAAACACACGAGTTCATAGAGCAGCATATAGACGTTTTCTGGCAGAAGCTCTTCTTACGATGCTTGTATGTAGTTCATGTCACATGAAAGAGTCTTCGCTGTTATTAAGATGTCAGCTCTGTTTGTTGCACTAAGACTTTGGAGTTCTCGATGCCACAC